CAGTGGCTTCAGGCCCCCACCATATTCGTATGGGATTGCTCCGAGGCTGGGAATATCTTGAATAACTATCATCGCTTTGTTGAAAAACACGAGCAAGAAGAGGATGATACCGCCGCGAAGGATGCCACGTACGAAAAGATGACCTTTCGCCCGTACATCCACCTAGCTTCTTGCGGCGCCAAAGAAAACCTTCCAACAAATCCTCTGCTCCCCGCTGACCTCTTCACATGTTGCTTGACGACTCCGATCGAGATGGCGCTCTGGTTCTTTGTGCTCCAGAACCCGCTCAAAACAAAGCTCACCCCTGAGAGGGCTAGAGGACTTGGAGGCAGGCTGCAGGAACGCCGGACCCCCCTTGGAGAGCTTAACTGGATCTTTACGGCCATTACCGACACGATAGCGTGGACGACGTTGCCGCGTCACCTCTTTCGCAAGTTCTTCCGGCAAGATCTTATGGGTAAGTGCAAAGTTCCATGATCTGTTTTATATTGTTTCACGACTGACCTGATAACGCTGATTTAGTAGCCGCACTGTTCCGCAATTTTCTGCTCGCGCAGCGCATTATGCCAGTCTACAACTGTCACCCGCAGTCGTACCCAGAATTGCCAAATACGCGTCAACACCCTCTTTGGGACAGCTGGGACCACGCCGTTGACATGGCATTGGCCCAGTTGCCCATGCTGGAGAGGAAAGAGAAGGAAGGCATAGAATATGAATATGTTAACTCGAGCTTCTTCACAGAGCAGCTCACTGCCTTCGAGGTATACCTAGATAGGGGCGATGCCTTGGCACAGAAACCTCCCGATCAGCTCCCAGTTGTACTCCAAGTGCTCCTTAGTCAGCAGCACCGGCTTCGGGCATTGATCCTTCTCGGTCGTTTTCTGGATCTTGGCCCCTGGGCGGTCCAGCTAGCTCTGAGCATTGGCATATTCCCCTATGTCCTGAAGCTCCTTCAATCAGCCGCACAGGAGCTGAAGCCTGTCATGGTGTTCATCTGGACCCGTGTCCTGGCCGTCGACATCTCCTGTCAGGGGGATCTCATCAAGGACAGCGGGTACAACTACTTTGCCGCCATAATGAAGCCACAGGAAACCTTCCCAGTGGTTGGCGTGGCAGTTCTGGACGAGCACAAGGCTATGTGCGCATTCATCCTGGCCATGCTGTGCAAGAACTACAGACCTGGCCAGATCGTCTGCAACTCGACAGAGATTATGACGTATTGTCTGCAGCACATCAACCATCCAGAGAACCCTCTGCTGCGGCAGTGGTCATGCCTCTGCATCAGCCAGTTGTGGCAAGATCTCCCGGAAGGCAAATGGAGAGGCATCCGAGAGAATGCCCACCTCAAACTGGCCTTTCTGATCAAGGACCAGTGCCCCGAGGTTCGGGCCGCAATGGTCCACGCCATGACGACATTCCTGGGGATCCCAGACCTCACTGACGAAGTCGCGAGAATTGAAGAGGGAATTGCCTGGACGATGCTGGATCTCGCCACCGACGGCAGTCCCATCGTCCGCAAAGAGCTCCTGGTGTTCTTCTCGCACTTTGTGCTGCGCTACGAGAACAAGTTCCTGGTCGCCGCGCACGAGCAGTTGCTGGAGGAGAAGGAGTACCTCTTGTTCCCTCTGCCAGACGATGGCCAGGACCACCGGATGGGGCTGCACTACGCGAGGGCTGCGCATCGCGACAGAGATGGCACGATTCAGCCGTCTGCGTTCGGTGTGGCCCATGATTCTGTCTTCGCTGCGTGCTGGAAACACATCAACATCCTGAGCGTCGATCCCCACCCCGAGGTCCAGAGAGACGCTACCGCGATTGTGGACTTTGTCCACCACGAACTTTTGCATTCGCCTGTTGGCGAGCAAGCTCAGAAGCTCATAGATGAGATCCTCAAGCGCGCTAGGAAAGTGTCCAGAGGAGATATGAGCCAGAGAACTAGCGTTGTTGGGACCCACACAGCCGTTGCGCAGCCGATGCCTTCGCCTGGCCTTCTTAAGCGGACTGCCAGCTATCTATTCGGCCCGCTGATTGGCACTATGGAAATCCCCGCGTCAGCTGTCTTCTCCCCGCCCACGTCTCCTCGCTTGCAGAGGACGCTGTCTCAGCGCAGCCGCAAAGGTCCGAGTCTGGATGCTGCGCCCCCGGAGCAGAATGACCAGACCACATCGCCGGCAAACTATCACGTAGCCAATGAGCCAACATGCGCCGGTTACAAGGAGCGCAGCCTCACCGAAGCGCCCACTCTGCCTGTGACGAGCACATTCCTCGACTGGTCAATAGAGTACTTCCGGGAGCCTCAAATGAAGGCGCCCGAGCCCGAGGAGCCTGGAAGCAATGAATATAACAAACGGCTTTGGCGGCGATCACGTAACGAGGCCGTCCTCATGGAGACGCAACCTCAGAAGACACACGCGAGGACGCACAAGTGGAACAGCCAGATCGGAGTCATCAACAATGGAACGCAGCCAGCCAAGATGACGTTCCACCAGTTTGAAAATCACGTCGCGGTTGCTGACGATGGGAATACCATAAACATCTGGGATTGGAAAACAAACGCTCGCAAGAGCCGCTTCTCCAACGGCAATCCCGAGGGCTCAAAGATTTCCGAGGTGAAGTTCATCAACGAGGATGACCAGGCGCTCTTGATGACGGGCTCGTCGGACGGCGTCTTGCGCGTATATCGCAACTACGACAGCGACGAAAATGTGGAGCTAGCGTCGGCATGGCGTGCGCTGACGCACATGGTGCCGTCCAACGTGAATTCGGGCATGGTCTTTGACTGGCAGCAGGTCAACGGGCAGGTGCTGGTGGCGGGCGACGAGCGCGTCATCCGCATCTGGAACGCCGGCCACGAGATGTGCTCGCACGAGATCCCGGCCCGGTCGGGCTCGTGCGTGACGGCGCTGACGTCGGACCAGATGACGGGCAACATCTTCGTTGCCGGGTTCGGCGACGGCGCCATCCGCGTGTTCGACACGAGAAACAGGCCCCAGGAGTCCATGGTCCGCAAGTGGAAGGACGACAACAGGCAGTGGGTCCGCACCGTGCACATGCAGCGCGGCGGCCAGCGCGAGCTCGTCTCGGCCAGCCGCAACGGCATGGTCCGTCTCTGGGACATTCGAAAGGACAAGCCGCTTGCTACCTTTGGCACAACCGCCCACCACGTGCTCAGGACCGCGAGCGTCCATGAGCATCTCCCCGTGCTGGCTGTGTAAGTTTCTATCTGTCGTGCATCATTTTTCCCCCTTCTTTTCTTTGTATCAGGGAACTGACTTTGGTGTCGGTGTTTCTAGCGGCACATCTGTGCACACTGTTAGGGTTTTTGATCTCGACGGTCGCATCATCTCGAGCATGGAACCCTACTCGGGCTTCCTGCAGGGCCACAAAGACACGCCCATCGCCGTCACGGCCTTTCATCCGCACCGCATGCTCCTCGGCTGCGCCGCACGCGGAGACCATCGCCTCAACCTCTTTGCGTGTGGCAACGAGCGCGTCGAGCGCTTCGACCGCCTCAGCGAGCGCCTGACCGACCGTCTTAGCGACCGTCTTAGCGAGCGCATCAGCGAACGCGGCTAGGGTGGGCGGTGTCGAACATCTCTTCTTTGTTTTTTTTTTGTTGGGCGGGGGAACGAACCATCCTGCCGTGCACGCATACGTGTGTACTCTGACTTTCTCTCATCCCTGCTCGCGCTGCTTGCATGGCGGATGGAGTCGGTCGAGTTAGCATTGGCGAAATTATGCGCATGCCCTTGGCAATTGTGTCTGCGTCTGCGTTTTCGTTTGCGTTCTGGCGCCCCGTGGCCCTCTCATGCTCCCTCGTGAGCCAAAGAGGGCCACATAGGGGATAGGGGTTAGGGGGCTGGGGAGGATTTTAATACAATAACATGCTGTAGCTATCTTTTTTTTCTTGTTATTTCTTTTTCTTTCTTTTTCCTTTCCGGGTTGGTAATGGGTAAACTGCATATTGGTATTAAGTGAAAGAACCGGGGGAAGAATCTGGGTGGCTATCGGGAGGGAGCCAGGGCTTGGGATTTTCCTAATCTTTCTACGTGTTTGTTTGTAGAAGCGGAGGGTCATAGGGGGAGCGGAGGAGGGGGAAAGGATGGCTTTACTGTATTGTTATTTCAACACGAGCCTTTTTTTCTCTCTCGATGTTTTTTTTATTCTATTCTTCTTCTCTCGGACTTTGTCTCTCGCATCGGCTCCCTCTAATTTCTCTTTGGGGGATCCTCCTTCTTTCGTTCTTCCGCCCGAGTCGTTTCGTTGCCTTGGCTGATGGTGCAAATTTGTAGATGGGGCTTGCGGAACATTCGGCGTCTTCGTCTTCCGCCGGCATGTGTGTATTGCGGGTTGTAGAGAGTGGTGTGTGTGTGTGTGTGTGTGTGTGTGTGTGTTGTCTGCTTTCTATTGTGCTATTATCGCTGCTTTTTTTACTTGTTTTGTTTATTTTTAGACCAAGAGAAAGGGGGCCAGCTGCCGACCGAGAGCTTAGTCTGAAGGGTTCCATACCAGCGGACGATGGGTGATAGGTGGATGCCCCTTTCTTTAAATGTTTCTAGACAGACAGAGAGAGACAGATGGAGGGCGTGAGGTGGGAACTTCTCAATTCAAGGTAATACTGGGCTGTTAAGAATCATCTTTCGCCCTGCTTTTTTGTGTCTGTGGGTGTTGCTTGTCGCGAACGCCTGGCTGACTGTGGATATACATGCCCAGCACTGTTCATCTCGAAGCATCCGATTCAACTTCACAGGTAACAAATACTGTACGGTACGTTACTGTACTTCTTTTCCATCCCTCAACATAGTGTGAAGGTGTTCGGAATTCGAAGTGGAGCCTGCCGTTACTGATAGCAGAAAACTGCTTCATTCTCGGCCCCCCCCCCACCCCCTGCTTGAGTGTTCATTTCTGCTCTTTTTCATTCTCCTCGTCCCCTTCCTCGCCCTCCACAACACGTACATGCAGGGACAAGCGGTCCAGCAATTATCTCAAACACCAAAGAAGCATCAGTGGTTTAGTGGTAAGACCCATCGTTGCCAGCGCATCAGCAAAATATCGATGGGCCCCGTGTTCGATTCACGGCTGATGCATCACGTCATGAGAAAACAGGTGTTTCCGACTTTATTTTTGTTTCTCTTTTGTTTCGTTTTGTGCTGACGCTGTTTTTACTGTTTTTTTATTTCTCGCCTTACAATTACGTCTTGCACACACTTATTTTGCTTGGCCCTCGACCCCAACACAACTCCCCACTCTTTTTTTCCCACCAACCTCACGTCCCCTTTACCCCTATTCTTTTCACTTCATTCACAAGGATCGGGGAGCTCGAATTATAACTACGTCGTTGTAATTGAAGGGGTTCTGCCTACCTAGTTGGCTACCTCGAAGATTATCCTGGCAGTTTATCAGAGGGGAAAAAGCGGGGGAAAAACCCCTATACCTTAGTAGGTACAATGGACGGACTACCAGGACCGCACCGGTCCGGACTTCTCAACTTTGAGACAGCGTGTCAAGATGACTGCTGTTCCGTCTTTCCACTTTCCGCCGCGCGGCCATCATGCTATGGCCAGGGCTCTTCTGAATCCGCCACTACCATATTCCTCAGGGAAAAACAAAGGCACGAGATACCTATACCTATACCTTCACGAACATTGCACTGCGCTACCCCTGTTGTTGTTGTTGTTGTTGTTGTTGTTGTTCTTGTTGTTATGCCTGGATGACCAAGACGATTCCCAGAAAGTGGCCACTGCGCCTCTCCGACCCCAAATACTATCACTTGACGCTGTTCACTAGAGCCTGTTTGTGTTCCCATAATCCTCCGCCATAACCATTGCCCTCATCCCTATCATCATCATCCCCATAGCAGCCGCATCCACCTTTTTAGTTTTAAGGGGGATCCGTTTCCAGCCACTTATAACTCTCATACACGGGGTATATCTATTGTTGCGTAAAAAAAGGACGAAAACAAAGCAGACCGGAATTTGAAAACGAATAACAGGAAATGTGGATGTAGGAAAGCGACCCCCCCCCCCTTTTAACAACCACCGGACGAAGAGACGTCACAATATCGCCGAGGGGTTAAGAAACCGGCCGCGGTTCACGCGGGCAGGCGCCGCGAGACCGGCCTCGTGCTCCCAAAACGACAGGCGGCGGCCCCTGCAGTTTCTCATGGTGACGATAGTGCTGAGCGTCGACGCGGGAAACGGGGACTCGAGCCGCCTCTGCTCGAGCCGCTGCTGCGAGCGCCAGAGGTCCTTGCGGCGGCGCTGGAAGCGTGCACGCGGGTCGCCGGCGCCGGCGAAGACGAACTCGGAGGTGGCGAAGCGGAAGGGCCACGACGCGCCCGTGATGTCGCTGGTGTGGCAGTACGAGTGCATCTCGGTGCCGCCCGCGCCGCCTGCCCGGTGGCCGACGTCGCCGTGGTACAAGCCGTACCGCTGTGCGTAATGGTTGCCCTTGCCGGCGAGGTAGGCCGCCGTGCCGACGGCGCGCTGCGCCCCGCACAGCCCCGCCGCGATGAAGTCGGCTGGCGTCATGGCGCGCGCGACTGCCTCGTCATCGCCAGCGCCGTCGTCCTCGGCCGACCCCAGCACCGCGTCGCCAGCCGTCAGAGCTCCCTGCGGCGCTGGGCGGTGCGGGCCCCAGCCGCCGTTCACGTACCATCTGGGGCGGTATGACGATACTTGTCCAACGGGCGCCACGGATTCTGGGGGCTCCATGACGCGGAACGGCGCGTCGATCAGGGGCACCTTGCAGTCAGGGTCGAGGCCCGGGTCGCACGATGCGAACTGCCGCAGCTTGTCGGTCGGGATCGGGGACGGCCTGTGGATGCGACGGCGCCTCATCAAGGCCTCCCAGTGTGCGTTCGTCCTGCGCCCCACCATGTTGCTTTCGATTGCTCGCCCGTGTGGGAGTTGGTCTGCTGCCGCGGTGTAAAGAGACGGGTTGCTGTGGAGGGCCTGCAGAAGGACGACGGGCTCGGGTATGTACCCAGCGGTGGCAATGGCGAGAGGGACGTTCGCTGGCGCTAGTTCGGTGTTAGGTGGATTACTGTTGTCGGCAGGATTGTCGGGCCAAGGAAGTTCGGTGGCCGTGAAGTTTTCTGGACCTTCTTCGCCGTCGCCATTCACCAATATTGTCGAGGAGCCCGCTGCGCTCGCCATCGCGTCATTAGGGATGTTTGAGGATGTTCGAGGGGTCGACGATTTCGCAATCAAAAAAGGTGTCATCTGTCACTTTCGCAACGAGGCGGCTTGTCTAGGTAGGGCGAACGACGTGAGATGGATAGAAAGGGAAGGAGGGAAGGAACGCTGAAGGCGACTAGGTAGTTGTAGTACTGAGGACTGAGGGCGCTGCAGGCGCGACGATTCTAGGAAGAAACGGCCGTCTCGAGCGGAAAACTGATGGGAACATACAATGAAAGGAAAAGGGAGGGAGCGAGTAGAGGAAGTGGAAGGGAGCGTGCGGAAGAGAAGGGGCGAGGTATGGAAAGCTTCCAGGGCCACTGCGAACCTATTTTCTATTTTGTAGGAGTCCAGTATGGGATATGGAAAGTGAGCTGGCCCATCCCCAACAATGGGAGTGTCATAATTTTCGTCTGGTCTGAATAAAAAGTGAGATTCCTTCTCCGGTCTGATTTTAGATTTTAGGCTCGCCTGGCGACAATTGTCTCCCAGCTGGCCGCCTTCACACCGAAGCAGAGCCCATTGCCGCGCGCATTATCCTTTTGTTTGAACATGTCTTCAGTGGAATCCCCTCAAATCCTTCGGTTATTAACGGGTAGACCTTTACGCAAGCGTTGAGCCAAATATGATGACTCAAGGGAATAAACCTTGCGACAAACACGTCCCACCTAAAGGCAAAGACCACAATATAATCCTATTTAAAGCTCCACCTTATCTAACGCGACAACGAGGTAGAGACACGACAATTCTGGCAACAGGCAACCGACTATGGCGTCAGTCTCTTGGGAGTTCTCGGGTAGTAGGCGGCCAGGTGGACACTCGGCAGATTGAGATAGAAAGCAACCACGCGATCCAATCCCAAGCCAGCACCTCCATGCGCTGGGACACCTGCTTGACGGAAAATGTCGACGTATTCTTTGATTCCAGGACTGAGAGGATCAACACCCTTCTTCCGGATACGCGCCTCAAGCTCAACGGGATCGTTGATACGCTGGCCACCTGATAGAATCTGTACCTCATTGTCAGTAACTGGCTTATCTAAAATTGTTCTCAAATTCCGCAAAAGGGGTGTGAGAGTATAGAGGCGAGGAAAATGAAAGGGGGAAAAGGGGTTAAAAAGCTCACCTCCTGGTTCCGCATAAACATGTCGTAGGCATTCGTTACTTTGGGGTTCTTCGGGTCTTCTTTCGCATAAAACGGTCTCGCGCCCTCGGGGAACTTGTCGAGGGCGAAGAAATCCGTCTTGTATTTGGCTCGGATCAATGCGCCAAGTGCCTTCTCCTGGGGCGTGCTCATGTCCTCGTCGTCGCTCACATTGCGGAACTCCTCGGGTCCCTCTTCGCGAAGGAGCTTTTGGCCTTCGGCAAAGGTGAGGCGAAGAACGCTTTGGCCGGGCTCAGGGACGAGGAACTCTTCCGAGGGGTACACGGAGCGGACCAACTCGACCTCCTCGGAGCATCTCTCCTTGATACCACGGAAGATGTAGAGAAGCAGGCCTTCTATCGTATCCATGACTTCGTGATAGTCCTTGACAATCTCCATCTCAAGATCGAGACCCGTGAACTAAGTCGCGTTAGCCAAAATCCCTAAATCGACCTGACGTACCGCTTCTACTCGGAGAAATTGGTTTTTGAGCTGCAGCCCCTATATCCACTTCTTCGGCCGATCTTGTATTCATTGGCCCAACCGATGTTTACGGTGGGGCAATCGGTCCCGGGCCTCTAGCGGCTCTGAAAATACTCGTCCGAGTAGAAGCGATAGCACAACAGCGCTTTCTTACCTCAGTCACTAAAAGAGAAATAAGTCAGTAAGATAGCTAGGCATATTAAGTTGGGGCCAAGTCGAATTTACTGTGACGGGGCGTGTTGCTGTTCTCGGCCCGGAAGACGGGGCCAATGGACTGTTTAGGGTGGCACTACTTAGCAAACGGGGCCAGGGGAAGGCGAGAGTGGTTGACGGGCAACAAGCACACTTACGAAAACGCGCTTTCTCCCACCTGCGATTTCGATTTGCTTATAGAATTGTGGGCTCTGGGCTACATTATGCAGTTAGCTTCCAAGCCAAGAGAGGGGGGAGAGAAGCGAGCGGTTTCTGCTTTTACCCACCTAGGAAAGCGTCCTGTCCGAAGTAAGGCAGGCGGAAGACGTTGGCACCACCTTCAGAAGCCGCGGAGATCAAGTTGGGCGGCTCAAAATCTTTGAAGGAGAGCGACCGGAGGTACTCGCGGAACAGCTGCTTGACCTCGGCCCTTATATCGGCGATGGCCTGCTGCACTGGAGCGCGTTTATGCATGACTATACTTTCCAAATGGGCTATCATGCTGGCAGCGGGCACACCAGTGGCCTCGCCTGGCGGGGCGATGCTGAGCTTCTCTACCCCTTCCTCGACCTTGGCCTCCTCGTCGCTGAAATTGGTGACGGGTCTGTTTGCGGTGGCGAGGGTCAGTCCCAAGACCGTCGGAGCTGCGGCGTGAACGAAGCACTTTGTGATGTGCAACTCGAGGTTGGAGACGCGGCAAGACTTGACGGGCTCTAATGGCTTCTGGATCACACCCTCGACTACAACGAAACTCTCGGGGTTGACGGCACCGATCCACTTGACCATCTGGCGACTGACGGGGGCACCTTCGGTGTTCGCCGCAGCAATCGCTTGGATGGTCCAGTTGCCCTCCTCCCGCAGCTCTGCAAAAACCATCTTGGCCTAGAACCAATATGTCAGTAACCTTCCCAACAGCCAAGTTCTTCGTACTGGGGATCTTGTTGTCTTCCTCACCCCTTGCATGCGAGAATTCTGAAGCCACGCCCGGAGAGTAACCGTCTTGCCCACACTCTCCTCTCCAAGTGTCTTCAGGTTGATGTGGCCGGCGTCGGGTGAGTATTTGGTGACGTCGGTCTCCTGTCCATAGTTGT